CATTTTTCCCCCTTCCTAAACGTGTTATCACAGAGGTGCTACCGCCATCGATGATGGGCTCAGCCTTGGCCAGCAGTGGGTCTGTCTTGGAGCAGCTGGCACTGGCTCTGTCAGACGCGGGGGAAGCTTCTAGCAGCTTCTCACAGAAGCCACCCTTGTAGCCCCCTCCTCTACCAAAACCTTGCCATGCAAACCCAATACAGGCTGAAAAGCTGGGCAGCAGCAATACTGTTCCCAAACTGGTGACCGCTCATAAATAGCCAGGCTGGAGAAAGGCTAAAGCTGGTCTGTATGCAGATGCATTGCTAAATACCTTAAAATAACCTGCTTCCTTCGTTGGGTTTTAATTGGATTCCATTAGCTGTGTAACATACATAAAAATGCACTTTTAACACTACATTCATTTGGCCACTTGGTTCCTGCCTAACTGGTTATCAAGTATTGCAACAAATCATTTTCCTCTTTTTTTTGCTTAGAAAATGAATGCAAAGTTAATCAGAATACATAATATATGTTAATTAGCTAAAGCAGGGAGCCACAACTTAATCAAGCAAAATTGGATTCTCTCCTTTTAATGCAAGTGAAAAGATTAGAGATGGTGATGCAACTGAGGGAGAAAGATATAAGCAAATACAAACTGACTTTGTGACAGCTCCTCAGGAAAATCTGTAAATAATCACACACTACAGACTCCAGAGGGAATAATATTCTTCTCAGTTTTCAGGTTTTTGTAAAAATATTTTCATAGGTCCCAACTTACTTCAGAATCAGGAAAGCTCCAAATTGACCCAACAGTGCAATTCAAGAGATGAACACAAACCTGAAAGTCATTACTCACGTTAAACTGTAAGAAAAACTTAAATATCCATCCTGCCCCAAAACATTAACTATTAAACTGAGACAAGCAATCCTTAAAAAGTAACTATTGCCACATCTTTAGTTTCTTTCTGGAATTATGTTCAATGCAATACATCACAGGTATAGGAATAATAGATTGTCTTGCCTGTAGTGCTGCCAGAGTCACAGTTTTCTTTGTAGCTTTGCCATTTTTTGCTCCAGCTGAGCCACTCGATCCTGATAAAGCATCAAACACTGCATCAATGTCAGACTGCTCCTCAGGAAGAAATCTGGAAAGGTGATTCCGATAGGCGTTGCTTTCTGCATTTCCCATCTTTTCCACCTGAAGCAAAGGAAAAGGAATTTGAAAAAAAAAAGTAGTCAACACAGAAAGGTAACACAATGAATGTATCAAACAGACAAACACACCAGTGCAAGTTTTACAAGAGGAGCAAGTTACCAGCCTTCTAGGAAACTTATTAAAACCACTGTTTAGTCTCTGTAGTCACCAAGACTTGATGAACCTGAAGAACATCTATGAACACTAACCGTGCTTTAAAAAATGACAATCTGTCAGCTCTTTGCTAAGACCACCCTGTCTACTAATTCAAACCTCATTCATGTCTTATCAAATGGAAAAACCAATACCATTTAATGATTAAATTAGCTCGTACAAAGTGACCACGAGTCTGTCAGCTGGAATACATCAGCAACATGAAGGGAATAGCCTGATTATGGATTATTTATGACAGATTATGCTACATCTTTCTGATACATTAATGCACTGAAGCTAAGTCTGCCAATAAAATGTGGCACTAAAACAGCATCAGTGTAAAGTCTCTGAAGGTGACACGAGAACGTTTTTTCTAAGGACACAACACAAAAATAATTCAAAAAGCTGCCAAGAAACACAGTAGCAAAAGCATCTAGGAAGATGACTCAAGTCCCACCAAAAACACATATACGAAGTCAATAAATTGTTCAGAGCTAGTACCCACAGAATTAAGGTTGGTGGGGGGGTGTTGGTTTGGGGTTTTTTTGTTTGTTTTACACATGTAATGGTACGACGATGATTTCTTTCACAGTCCTAGGATTCACTCGCATTATAGAAACTAATTTTTTAGTGTTGTGTGGGCCACACACTCTGGCCTTCTCCCTGGAGCAGCACGGCACAGACCCAACAGTGCCACAGTAGGGCCTGAAATCCCAAATTCAACCATGACCGCAACGACAGTCCCCACTGTACCATCTATCTGGCATGGACACACTCCTGGGGTGACAAGATAAAAAAGATGAGAAGCGGAATAAAACATCCTTTGGTGTTTTTCTTTCCACAAATTCCAAATCCCTTCTGGCACCTCACTTTTGGTTCAGGATTCCCAGTTTCACAGAAATCTTTTTGCCATCGAGCCTGTCACACAGCACCTCAGCAGCCTCAGAAGGATTCTTTGCTTAGCCTAATCCAACCTTTCTGTCGTTAACCGTTGCTGACTTCGATAAACAACTGCACGTAAGAGGCTGGGTTGGGCTTTTTTACCTTCGCTGAACAGCACAGGCCCAAAAGCCTTGTTTGCCTGTGAGGAAGATGTCGATCGTGAGGTAAGCGTCAAAGGGTTAATGGAAATGACTGTGACCTGGAAGACAAACCGTGAAGGCATGATTAACTTAGCCGCTGGAGAAAGGGGGTCCGGGCCT